TTGATGGGTTTTTTTTTTTTTTTTTTTTTTTTTTTTTTTTTTTTTTGCGCCCCGATATCAAACGAATTCATGCCAGTGCAGCGGTAGCAGCTTAAAAATTAATAAAAGAAAAACATAATAAAATAAATATACATAAAAAGCAAAATAAAATAAATAATTCCTAACTCCTCTATTAGTTACATATACGAAACCTCATGCTCCATTGCAAGCACAATAAACATCGCAAAGCCCACAAAACTAACGAAAGAAAGAAAGAAAGAGCGAAACGAAAGTGGCACGAACGGATGTGCCACAAAACAGTGGGGCGAGCTATGCCCAAAGCGGGCAGCAAATGCAATCAGCATGTTTGGCATGCCAAACGCAGCCAGACAATTAAAATTTATCGAAAACCCAATAAGAATATTCTAATTGTAATCAAAGTCACGTCTTGACAAGCCCAAACAGTTTTTTATTTACATTTTTAATTTCACTAATATTACTTTCTAATATACATATATAAATATTTATATAGCAGTAAACCCTATTTAAATAATTTTACAAAAAGAATTTTATTTCAGTTCATAATTTTCATTTAATTTTATAATTATTATTATTTTATTTTATTTAAATTTTTTTAATTATATTTTTAAGTAAGTAGTTTATTTAATTCCACTGATTTTGTAATCAAAGTCTTAATTTTATTTCTAATTTTTAGAATATTTACATCATAAAAAATTATTTTTTTTTAATTTAATTTTTTAATTTTGTTTAATTTAATCATTTTTTAATTTTTTTATTCAAAGCCCATTTTATTTTAATTTAATTTCTATTAATATTTTAATTTTTTATTAAATTTTTTAAATTGAAAAATACCTATTTAGAATTTAATAATACCTTTATTTTTTATATTTTTTTTAGATTTATATATATATACAGAAATGAAGACTTAACCTTCCTGACTTTATGCACAAGCCAAAGTTTAACTCTTTTAAAAACAGTTTGCAAAAAAAATAATATTAAATACAAAGAAACATAAAATAATGATAAAAAATTAAAGTTAAAATGTTTCTGTAAACCAATTTAAAAAAAATAATAATAATTTCACATAAATATCGTCACTTATTCAGGTCATGAAATTATGATGTCGTCTAACCAGAACTGGCATCTGTTTAAGCCACATTCAAATGTTAATCGTCTTGAGCTGTTTCCTTGCCAAAATAAAATGCCAAACTCGTTCGTGTCCACTGTGCGTGGCGGGCACTTAAACGAAAATTGCATTGCTCGCCTCTTTCAGCACCAGATCAGCGCTCCGCCCCGCCCCCACCAGAGACTCCGTTGAGTTGTTATGGCGTCGCAGTTTGAAAAGGGTGGCCCACAGTCAACGTAATGCTCCGCTTACTTCCTCGTGAGCGCAAAGAAAAAGGCCAAAACACACACACACACACACACATATGATACACATACAATCGAAGCTTTCAATTTGCACAAAAACTTCACATAAATTACATAAGATGACCAAAAAAAAAATAACAAAAACAAAAGTAAAGTCCAACTTGCTGATGAGTGAAAAAAAGCGAAGTTACAACTCTAAAGGGAGCTGCTGAAACTGGTTCAGTTTTTGTTTTTTTATCATCTGACTTTCGTTGTTGTTGTTGTTGTTGTTGTTGTTGTTGTTGTTGTTGTTGTTGTTGTTGGTTCACAGTTGACCAACTGACCTTGAGCAGGGCTTATGCAATGCAATCTTCTTCAATCTTCTGAGAGTGGCGACTGCTGCTGCTGCTAGGGCTCATCTCTGTACTTCGACAAATTGCAGCCACTGTCGGCGATTGCAAAATGCACAAAATTTGAAATACAGAAAGCCCCAAGATCGCAACTCAAATGCATAAGCGACAGCAGCAGCAACAGCAGCAGCGACAGCGACAGCAGCGACAGCGGCAGCAACAAAAACTTAAACAACTTGTCCCATAACCAAAAAGCCAGATCCGAGTGCCCAAAATGAAGAGCTTGCTGCGCCGGCGTCGCTGCCATGTGCATGTCTGCGCATGTGTGTGTGTGTGTGTGCGTGCTCAAGTGTGTTATAAAAGCAACTCAACCTGGCTGCCAACAAGCCATAGTACCAAGTCAACTTGCAACGTGAAGAGCTCGCGACTAAATCTACCTTCAGCAACAAAAAAAGAAAAGCAAACCAAACAAAAATGTTTAAATTCGTGTTTATTGCCAGCCTGCTGGTCAGCGCTGTCCTAGCCGCACCCGTGAGTGAACCCAAGAAAATAAAAAAATAAAAACCGAAAATACGTTAATTCAAGCCAAAATTATATTTGGAGTCCATACACAAGATAAGCAGAGTAAAGATAAACAGATACCAGTGCAGCAGGTGCAGCAGGTGCCACTCTAGCTGCGCACGCACTTGGGCCGCTTCGTGCTGCGATCTGTTTCGCATTTCTCGAAGCTGCCGCACTTGACATTGCCACAGTAGCTGCCCGTGGCGCCAGCTGCAAGTAGCGGAGAGAGCGGAGCAGTTACAGCTGTCAACTCAGATAGTTCGACGTGTTCTACTCACAGTTCTTGCTGCCAAAAGGCGACTTGTCGGCGCCCGAGTTGCCCAGCAGATTGGGTGATGCGCAGCTGCGGCCGTTGCACAGATTTGGACAGCATTTGCCGCCAATGGCGCTGCACTCGCTGTCGTGCAGGCACTTGGGCGTGCAGTTGGACACCTTGGTGAACGAGGGGCAGTCTGTGCAGAGAGTTCAATTCAGTTCAATTAGTGCCTGTTGCCTGTTCATTATGGCCATGACTTACCGCCGGCTGCCAGTGTCACAGCCAGACAGGCGCCCAATACAGCCAGCAGCAAGAGCACAAAACCAGGTTTAGCTATAGTAAAAGAGAAAGAGAGAGAGGGAGAGAGAGAGAGAGAGTTAGTGAGTGATAGTCTCGAACTATCGATCTACGTACCCATTTTCCTAGTATTCCAGTTGAACGTCCGCTTCGTTGCCTTCGCTAACAGCGACTGGCGTCAGTTGGGCTTTATACTGCTACTCAGGCTCAGTCCCTGGTCGTACCGCCTACTACTCGAACCAGTTTGAGTCTGTACTTGATTTTGTTGTTTTTCCTCGTGATTAATTACAGCAAAAATAAACATGGTAAAACCATGACACCGAAGCCAATATACCCTAAGGCACAAACAAGTTCTTAACAGGAAAAATTTATTAAATTTTCTTCACTTAACTCAGCAAGCGAATTTATTTTACTTCATATCACTCAACTTTTTATTTTTCAAATGAAAGAATTTCTGCAAATTCTAAATAAATATTTGCATTTAGAATTTCAAATACTCACCCTCTAGTTCAGCATACCCTCTTCTACATTATTAGAGCGCAAAAAGTCATAATAGAGTGTTTAACTACAGCTAGATGCGACTAGAGGCATCCGCATAGAGCGCTACAGATTTCAGCAATAATTGCATAAATTATAAAAGAAGTTCGCCTTAAACGTATATTATCAGAAATTTGAATAAAAAAATTTAACTATTTAAGCTCAGCTAAGCTTTATTTATGCTGATTTTGCATAGTTTTAAAATTGAGAATAGTAATTGCTTAATTAATAAAAATATTACTGATTCACCAAATCTTTGTTACACAATCGAGTCACTTTGGAATAAAAAAATCATTTACAGTATAATAGTATTCATATATTTTTCTGAATTTATAATAATTTCTATATTATTTTTGTCATCTAAAAAGTCAGCTTCCATAAAATATATATAGCAAAAATATTTTATATATTTTTTTTTATTTATAATAATTTCAATATTATTTTTAGTCGTCTATATTTTTAGTCAGCTTCAGTTTGCTGTAGCTCATTTGTTAGACTTGATAAACCGATCTTAACTGAACAGCTTTGAAAAGAAACTTTAATTAACATTTCCGCTCAGGCATTCAAGCGATCTCTGCTGAACGACATAAGATATATGGAAATAGCAAAAAGTGTATTCACTTGGCAAGTCAACCTTACAAAAAAAAAAGTAAACAAGAAACAAGAGAAAAACAAATTATTGCAAATTTCTGAAATTTCTAGAGAAACGATAAACAAAAACCAATTGCTGACATTGGCTGTCAGCCAGAGACTGCCATAAAATTGTTAATAAATCAGTTTGTTAAGTTAAGCAAGAAACTACAAATACAAAATACAAATATCACATATGAGAATCTGAAGCTAACTGCACTCAAACAGTCGCAGAAACCCTCACTAGAAGGTTTTGTTTATATCAACAATGACTCACAGAACTCTGATTGAAAAAAACTTGAAGTGTTATCGGCAACAGCGAATATTAACGATGTAATAAATAGACAAGTAGATGACAATAGGCAATTCGTAGGAATTGCAATGATTTCACATGCTTTAGTTGCTTATCTAAAACTCTATTCTGTGCTCTCTTCCAGTTGACCGATGAAGAATTGGAGCTCGAGAGACAGCAGAATGAGAATGCGCAATATTCGTTCAGTTCAACGATCAACGATGACATTAACGATGGCTCAATGGATCGTGAGGAGACACGCGATGGTAAAAAGGTGACTGGAAAGTACAGCTACAGCGATGGTTTCGTGAGGCGGACGGTGCACTATGAGGCCGATGAGAATGGATATCGTGTGGTGAAGGAGGATATGGAAGTGATCGGCGATGGTCCTCAGTTCAATCCGGAGGGACAAGCCGATGTCGCTGGCTCCCTCATCGGCCAGTACTCGATCAAGCTGGACAACAGCGACACAAAGCAGCACTACAAGGACATTAGACAGTAATGCCCCGGCGCTACATAGTCGACTAGTATTCTCAGAACGGATGATTTCTAACATTTAGAAATGCACTGAATACAATGTGAAATAAGAAATCAACCAATGTGGTTATTCTAATGTAATAAAGTCAAGTAAATCAAAAACTAAACACTCTCTATATGGTCATATCATAGACTTAGCCTGTTTGCAGTTTTATTATCAGATTGGATTCTTCGTTGTATTTCTTGTGGACTACATGTTCAGTTCTTCTAGGAGTCTGTACGATTCAAATTGATATTGAGATCCATTAAAATAAGTTCATAATATCGGAGATTGTCCTCCCCTACGACCCACTGCGCATTGAGCAGACGTAAATCGGCCATTCGACGGCCAATACGGTCCTCAATGATGGCCTGCAGTATTGGAATGTGATGCCGATTGTTCCCATAGCTGTTCGAAGATTTTCCATCAACACCATCATCGTGCGGCACTGGATTCGTGCGGCTTCCACGAATTCGAATCCGGAAGATCACAGGGGAGTTCTCATCGCAAGTCTTCTGTGGACGAAGCAGTCCGTACGCACATCTCATCTTCAGCAACTGGGTGCATAGCCAAATGCGAATCCGTATATAGTAACGCATAATTCAGCTGCCTCCTTAACTAAGTTGAATAGCAAAAGAATTGAATCGAAATAACGTTAATATGAATGCAAATGCAAATGTTTTTTTAGAAAAGTTGGGAAAAAAAACAATTTTTTTTTATATTTGTTGACTTGTCACTTGTTCACATGCGACTGAACTACCAGTCAAATTTTCTAAAAGACATTCAGCCTGGATTCAACAGGAATTTCCAGTCTACTTTGATTTAAGAAAATACCACCAAAAATACAGAGTGTTGCAGAAGTAATCAACCGATGTTCTATTGCTCTAATTCTCGAATTGTGAGTTTTCTTTATTAATATAAAATTATTAATATTAAAAAAAAAAAAAAAAAAAAAAAAAAAAAAACAATTAACAAAATATATAGGGTGTTCCAGAAGTAATTACCCGCTGTTCTTTTACTGTAGTTTTTTTTATGAAAAACTGTTGTTTGTCTTGTGAAAAACGTTTATTTATTTTATTTTTATTTTTTTTTTTTTTTTTTTTTTTTTTTTTTTTTTGAAAAATTGTTTTAACACTTGTTTTGTTTAAGCTTTTGAAAATTGTTTATTTAATATATAATATAAAATATATTCTAATAAATTGAGAATAGTTGTCCATCATACAGGCCCGTGTTTTGACGTCTTCCATCAACCTTTCCAAAACTTCGGAAGAGGGTTCTGGTATTCCTAGGAATGTTCTTCTTCAGGACATCAAAACCTCTGAGACTTTTTGACATAAGCCCGAGTCTTGAAAAAATATTATATAAATAAATCTGTAACGGTTAATCCCTGTGATCTAGGATACGATAGATTAGGCGACTCGGAAATTCTACCTTCAGTATTCTACATTCATAGCCTTTCGGTTTTTAGTGTACCGTTTCTTACTCTTGTCCCATCCCCTACATAATTACTAGGTAAAGTCTTAACGAACCAAGAGAGAGAGAGAGAAAGACGGAATAATAATAAATAAAAAAAATGTATTTTCGACTATAATTTAAAGCTAACTTTTATTTTAAATTATTAAGCAATATTGTTTGACAATTTGGGATTCGTAAAGCATATTGGGAAACATATATATCGCAGAATTAATACATTTATAGCACACTGAATGGTTGCGATGACTAAAGATCTTCCTGCACGCACTCCATCGAGTTGTTCGCCGACTGCGTGATGATCAGCGCCTTCTCCGAATCGGTTAGATTAATGAATTTATGCTTAGACTTGAGCTCCTGCTGTATGGACGAGAGTAGATCTGGTGAGCCGCGGCCCGGTTTCAAGATTAGGCTATCCCGATTGGGGTTGCCCGTCTGCTGCACGGCCTCGGCACAGCCGGCCACGTCCATGGTTGGCTCCACGATCGTCTCCATCTGCAGGGATTGTCGCTTGCGGCGCACCCGCTTCGAGCCGCGTGTAATGAGGACGACAGCGGGCGATTCGTAGGGCAGCGCCTGGATGACAGTTTGCAGGAGTTTCGGAGGCGTCTCTGGTGTCTTCGGGTTGCCAATGACAACGTCTGCCTGCAGAGCGCTACGGGCGCGCTCGCGCTCCTCTTCCTCACGCTCGCGGGCCGCGTTCTTGCGCATTAGCTGACGGGCGCGTTTCTTGAGAATCGCCTGGGCATTGGGATAGTAGGCGATGACCTCGTTCAGGTCCGACTTGGAGAGCACAAACAGATTGGAATAGCCCTTGGAGCGCACATCGGCTGTGCGACGATCGGCGCCATTAATGCCCAGCAGACTGATCTCGCCGAAGACGGAGCCCTCGGTGAGGGTGGCCAGGACAACATCGCTGCTGGGGCCGCCCATGACCTGGACCTGTCCCAGCTTCACAATGTACATCTCGCGACCCACCTCACCCTTGCGGCACACAAAATCGCCCGGCAGGAAGGTAACGGCACGCAGCTTCAGCACCAAATCCCTAAGCAGCGCCTCCTCACAGTCAGCGAAGAGCTGAACCTTCGACAAGGTTTGTATGTGCACCGAGATGGCAATGTCCGTCTTCAGATTGATGGGCAGAGCATCCAAGATGTTGGACTCGTCTAAGATGAAATTGGATAAGTTGAAGCTATAATGATTACGAATAAAAACATTTCTAGGTCTCACCCAACGTGCGCTGCTGTTCCCAGGTGAATTGAAACCACATTTTGACACGTGACTGCACCTCCTTGGAGAGATTCAGACGTCTCATATACTCAAGCGTCTCATCCTCCAGCTGACGATACTCGTGCTTGTTGCGTGTCGCCGTCGAAATGATATCCCTGATCTGGCCAATGAGCAGGGCGAACACAAAGACGCCCATTAGCCAGGCGACCGTCATGAAAACATATTCGCCCTGGCGTTCCGGCTTCGGATTTTTGCCAATCGACGTCGCCGTCTTGGTGGCAAAGGCAAAGCATCTCACATAGGGATGACCCTTGCCGCTGAATACCCAACGATTCTGGCCCAGGCCCTGATAGTCGCTATAGGCATAATACAGAGCGGCCGTAATGTGGATCATATAGAGCATATAGGTTAGCGTCTTGGCCACGCGCACCTGCAAGGGCAGAGCTATTAGATTTGATATGTTTACCCAAGGGTAAATCGTAACTTACGAAATGTGGCGAGGAAATGACCCGATCTAAGAGTCGAAAAACCTCCCAAAAACTTTGGATCTTGAAGAAACGCGGAAAGCGCAACCAAACGGCGCCAGTGCCATACTTCAGATAGAAGAGCTCCAGGGGCAGCAAGGCGAGCAGATCCAGCTGTGAAGATAAGCCAAGTGGGTGAATATTTTACTTAACTATAACTTATCATATAGGAACAACTAGGAAACAAATTTCAAATCCTTAGCTCTTATGGATCTTGAGATCGAAGCGGTCAGACGAACAAACTCAGTTCATTGAATCTACGCATATTATAATCTGATATCCTATTTGCAATGATAGGACAGATAGGTCTAACCCGGCTTTACCCACCTTAAACTGGAGCTTCCTCATATAGTTCTTGCGCGTTAGATTCTTGTTCTTGACCCAGAAGCCCTCGAAGAGGTACATCACACGATGCTTGAAGAAGACCACGTCCAGTAGGTAAATAATGTCCGCACAGAAATCGCAGGCGAGCCAAATGTTTGTGTTCGCCTTGGTCTGGAAGGGAAAGGAGGCGCGCAGCGGTATGACCCAGGCATTGTAGAGGAACGACAAGGAGACCACACAGAGCCACGAGATATAGATCTTGCCCTGCGGATCCAGGGTGCGCTCATCGTTGTTGGCGCCGCACAGGCTCGAGCAGAGCCAGACGTTGGAGCGCGGCGTGTCCGCCTCGAAGAGACGTCCGCGATGCGGCGATTGGCCGGCGGGCACCAGGCGCACCTTGTGCTCGGGCGAGGGATGCAAGCTCTTGGTGCTCGCGTGCAGCGCTGCCTGCGGCGGCGGTGTGGGTGAGCTGGCGCTGCTGGACGAGGGCGTTGGCGGCAGCTCGATGCGCGACTTCACCTTGTTGGCGCGCGCCGTGAAGCGGCGCACCAAGTGCCGCACCTGATCGCGCAGAAACTGCTGGCCTTGGGAGTCGAGGCTGCCAGCACTGCTGGGGCGATGTGGCTCCTCGACAACGGCAACGATTTCGCTCTCGTTGAGCGAGGAGGAGCGTGTCGTTCGCATATTGCGATCGTTGTTCTGCTGCTCCGGCGACTCATTGTAACAGATCTGCACATCCTTCTCATCTTCATCCTCATCCTCCTCGATGGGCTGCGAGCTGGTGTCACACTGATCTGGCTCCGCCGGCGGATCGAGCAGGACCTGACCCGTGGCACTGCGCAGCTCTGCCTCCCGCTGAGCAACCACCGGATCCGGTTCGTCCACGGCGCCCGGCAACGGCGTCAGCTCCACGTACTGCGGCTGCAGCACTCGCCGCACGCTGTCCGGACTGACCAGCGGCTTCTCGTGCTTCAGTATGTGCTTGACCAGCGCATGGGTGCTCTCGATGTTGTTGATCTGGCCCGAACGCTCGGCATCCACACAGCCGATGCGTCCGTTGCGAAAGTACAGGCGCGACTTATAGAACCGCGGACTGTGCGGACGCTGACGGCGCTGGGGGGCCTTGTAGGCGTTGATCTTGAAGCAAATGCGCTTGGCCGGACTGGGCGTCTTGTTCTCCTTGTCGCGCCTGCGCTGGCTGCTGGCCAACTCCTGCTCCTTTTCGCGCTGCATCAGCTGCTCCGTGGCGCTGACAAACTGCTCGATCTCCTTGATATCTTTGGTGATCTCCTCCAGGCTGCGTCGCACATTCGCCTCCTTCTCGCCAGGAGTGGAGTAGCGACGCTGCGGCTCCGGCCGCGTATTAATCACATTGCGCATGAACGCATGACGCTCCAGCGTCTCGCAGAAGCGCGGCGACGCCGGCCTCGCCACCTGACCCGGCAGCGTGGCCATCCGTTTCAGTTGAGTGTGTGCCGGCACCTGGAACTCGTCGTAGGCAAAGTTCTCCAAGATGTTCGGCGATGACTTCAGCAGCGCTGCACTGGCCTCCGTATCGAGCTGCGCGCTGCGCTGATTCAACTGCGAATGAAACGAACTTGAGTGCTGCGCTCTAGCAACTGGCCCCACACGGCACAGCTAAACCACCTTGGCGTCGTACGACACGCAAATTCAATAAAAGCTAAAACGAATATAATAACAAAAGACAAAAAAAAAATACGAAAAAAAACGAAAACAAACAAAGTACGTCTGTGCCTTGCATGCTAATTGCCCCGGGACGCCCGCACAATCCCGTCGAATCGATTTAATTGAGCGAGCGCAACCCCAAGCGCCTCAGCCAACGGACCATTAGGCAAATGCGCTTGGAGTAGTTTCATTCCATTGGCCAGCGAAGGACGTTCAATCAACTCCAAACTAGGCATAAATATTAAATAGAACTTCGTTTTCTTTTTCTTTTTTTTTATATAAAAACTCCTATACAAAGTGTGGTAAACCCTTTTCTGGGCAATCGCTGAGGGAGACTTGAACTGGTGAATGGAGAATGGGAAATA